TGAAAGGACGCCTTTCTTAACGTCAAGGTTAGCACCGATTTTGCGTAAAAGGTCATAACCGATTATACCGTCGAATGTTTCAAGTGTGGATAGGAGGAAAAACTCAGAATTGGTGTTAAAAATATTAATAGTGCACTTCCGCGTAACGCGATTGGTGCCATCAATAGATTTCACTAAGAAGGGAGAAGTTAACGCTTTTACACCCTGCCAATCACAATCTCTTACATAGTTTTTAGAGGCACCAGTGTCGATTAAAAATTTTACTGGTTTTCCTTTGAACTTCCTGCTAACGTATGGTAGCAGGGACGTTACTCTAAAAAATTTATTTCATCGCTTGGTACCTCCGGTACCACGTCATCACGATTGTAAACTCCCTCGTCTGACACCTTTTCGTCATAAGCATCAGAATCTGTGTAGGCTCCTTCAACGTCATCATTCGCGCATTGGTTTAGGATATTGATTCGTTGTAACTTATTGTAATTAAATTGGTCGCTACCGTGTGGTCTCTTTGCATTCGTGGCAGTGGCACTGGTTGGGAGCGGATTCCCAAATGGAGTCCTGCCTGAAGGGTAGGTCGGGCGATTACGAGAGAAGGGCAATGCTTGTTGGGTAGGATGCCTGAGCTTAGAAAGGCTGGGATCAATCTCCATAGGAGTAACTTTTTGTTGAGCCTGATCACTTGTTAATCTGCTAAAATGAGGGCTATTGGGAGTAGGATAGGACCTGATATTTGTTGGTCTGTTCACACGATTATCTGAATTTTTACTATCAGCAAATTTTGAGGCGAATATGGATCGAGCCTGATTTCACTTNAATGAGGGCTATTGGGAGTAGGATAGGACCTGATATTTGTTGGTCTGTTCACACGATTATCTGAATTTTTACTATCAGCAAATTTTGAGGCGAATATGGATCGAGCCTGATTTGACTCCAATTCCTGTGCTAGAGCTAGCGCTGTTGGCATGTCTTTCGGTCTAGATGAAAACAAGATATCACATAATGGTCTGTTAAGACCGGATATGAAAACCCTGAAAGCGTCTTGACGATATTTAACCATCAATGAATCTATCACGTGTCGCTGGCTTCTATAAGTCATAACAGTTTTGTTGGTTATGGCGGTCACGCCCGGTAACTTTGTTACGAATAATTGCCACGGTCTGGTAGTGTTTGCAACTCCCAGGATAGCATTCGAAAATTTTGTAAGCGGCATGAGCCGCCCGACGCCACGATACGTATCTAGTCTGGTCACCAGAAAATTCTGGCAATGACTTGACTACATCTAATGAAACGTTGCATTCAATATTGGAATCAAATGCAATTTCTTGGTACTCTTCCACTTTCGTCGGTGTCTCTATCCTTGAAAGTCTCTCCGTCATTTCGTCGATCACAGTCTGAAAATCTTTTTTAGTCTGTTCAGTAGCCACTCTTATGGCGGCACTGACCACTGCACGAAGTTGCATTTCATCCATATTTAAGTTTACAATTTATTACTTATATTTCTCAATTTAATTAACAAATACAGCGAGCCTAAGTGCTTAGCTAGTTGGCTTCACAGACGATAAAGTTTTTAATAAAATTCTAAATTCTTTAATTTGCAATTACAATCACTTTCCTATTAAAATTCACTTGCTTAATTTGTTTGGAGGTCGG